CTGCCCTCCCTGGCCCGCCCGCCGGCGGAGGACTCGCCCAGGCGCTAGCCGAGTGGAGGCTGGGAGCATTTGCAGCAGAATTTTTTGGCTTTCCCCCCCCCCCCCCCTTCCCACTCCTCCTTTTCCAATTTTTCTTCTTCCCGGGAAGTGAATTGCTGATGCCAAGCGGACTTGATTCATTAATGATGCAGCCGGATTCGTTTCAGGATTATGTTGCACGAATTGAATTTTGAATGAAGGAGTTTTTTTTTTTTAATTTTTAAATTTTTGAAAGAAGTGTTGACTCTTTTAGTTCGTTGTACTTTTAATTATTATTTTATTTAAGCATACAAGTTAATTGTATTATTCTCTTAAAAAATATTAAATCTATATTTTATGGAAACTTACCCTGAAGATATATATGTTTATGACTGAAATTGAAGACGCTTCCGTTAAGCGAGGTGACTGGTGTGTTGGATGTTTAATTCAGCACCGGCATTGCATGACAGTGGTTGAAATAACAAGTGGTTTATTTTTCTAAAACCACACCTTGAGAATTTTAGGCTCCGATAGTAACAGTAGACATCGTAAGGGCAATTAAAAGAAAACCAGCAGAAATCGAAGCAAACATGTCCGGGGAAGTGCGTCTGAGACAGCTGGAGCAATTTATTTTAGATGGGCCGGCTCAGACCAATGGGCAGTGCTTCAGCGTGGAGACTTTACTGGACATACTCATCTGCCTTTATGATGAATGCAATAATTCTCCACTGAGAAGAGAGAAGAACATTCTTGAATATCTAGAATGGGGTAAGTTGTTGTTGTTTTCTTTTTAACTCTTAATGTGTAAGCTGGCCATGAGCATTATTAACTACAATGAAAAAATACGTATCTATACATAACAAAAGAACACACGTCATTTAGTCAAGACTTTTCTCCCCTAGTTTTTCGTAACTGCCAGGAGTAAAGCGGCGGGCGCCACTTCATTGTTGCCTTGGTGTGTGGCCTCGCTGTTGGTGGACCCACTGCGTTTTTGGGCAGCAATAAGAGCCTTAAAACAAATGCTGGGCCGAGGAAACGTGGATTACCGAGAGCACAGTTGTCTCAGGCATGGCCCTGTAACAGCCATTCGGGGCGGTGGGTCGGGGCAAGGTATTTGTTGGTTGAAACATCCCTTCCCAGGCTTTGGAAATCACTGGCGATGGGAGGAGATGTTGAAGTCTCTGTTTTAGGACAGCAGGACCTTGGAGGTGGCGATCACTGGGTTTAATTTCACCTCTGCATAGCACAAGCAAGGGGAACTACTGAACATGGACTTTCCAGAAATGACTAGGTCCCTGAGATGAAATAATAGAAATATTGTGTGTGTGTGTGTGTGTGTGTGTGTGTGTGTGTGTGTGTGCGTGCAGACAGTAGTTGGGGACTATTTGGAGGCAGCTCCCCCTGCGTTAGATTTCACTCTAAATTGAACTTGCATCTACCCTGGAGAGAGTTTCGTCTTCCAGTCTTCGAAGTGTAGATGTGACCCAGACGACCCGTAGTAGTGGACTAGGTCAGTGATGCCAGCAAACGCTGCTGCTGCATGTGACCTTCAAGCTAGAAGGCTTGGCTGAAGTGCCTGACCCTCTGATGTCACTCACTCGATGAGGGAAGTCTGACATCTAGCAGTTGCCAACCTTGCCCAGCCTGGTAGTGAGTGGTACGGCCGCTCTGGAAGGGCTTTGGCCATCTAGAATTTGGTGCTGTTGAAATACTTTTAGTTAGCTAAATCATTTTTGTATTGAAGATCTTTGTTCCCAAGTAAAGCTTAATTTTCGGAAGTAAAAATGAAGTGCCCGTTGTTGTTTTGGTTGTCAAATTAATTCAAAATTTGTCTCTTAGTTCAGCCTCCGATTTAAGAATGCCCACACAAAGCAGTTCTCCAGTGTGCCAGGATTCCAAGATTGATTGCTAACAGCATGATGTTAGAAGGTTAAAAAAAATGTGTAAATGTGAATGGAATGATTTTACAGAACAGCTTGCCAGCGTCATGCTGGGAATGTAAGAAATCTTGAGCCATTTTTCAGGCAGCTTCTCTCTTGAGAGTAGGGGCTTTTTCTGTTGGTACTGACTTTGTTTGCACATACCTGCCTTTTGATGTGTAGGACCCAATACTTCATGAATTTGACACCCAGTGTTTCATAAACTTAGGAATTCTGTGGTGTTTCTTTTTTGAAGACTTAAAAGGTTTCAGTACTCTTCGAGTTGGAATTTGAGTCCTTAAATTATGGCCCCATCGTTACACTCTAATCTATGATTATGATTGTCATTTAATATCCTTTTCATTTGGAAAACAGTAGGAGAACTCTCTGTATGTCCCAGTGGCAGGTATAATTTAAATAGTGTATAAGAGAAAATTGTATTTCCCTGTTTCCTGTTATATAGCAGTTTTATGCTGTGGAATATTTTGCCATATTTTAAAAATAACCTATGTATATTCTATTAAGTATCTTTTCTTGGATGTTGTTTTCCTATGTATATGAAAACACTCTGTAAACATAAATGCATATTATACCAAAAATTAAAAAAAATCAAGTATTTGCATTCACTATATTCTTTCATTTTTTTGAGAGAGGATCTCAGTGTGTAGCTTAGGGTGGTCTTGAGATTGCATGTAACATGACTGGTATGCACTGCTGGTGCAGGCTCTGTGGTGCTGGGGATTGAACCAAGGGCTTTATCCATGCTGGGCAAGTGCTCTACCATTTGAGTCCCATCCCCAGCCCACACTCATTGTATCCTTATTAATAATTTCGTGCCTTTTTAGTTGTCTGGTATATCGTATCACGAAACCCTGCAGTCTCATAAACCGTTACTGGAGTTTAAGAAAGGGTTGCTTTTATTATTTTAAATTATGTGTCTGTGTGCAGGCCTGTGTGTAGGTATGTGCTGTAAGTGCAAGCTCTCAAGAGGTCCCCAGACATCTGATCTCCTGAAGCTGGATGCTGGTGGTTGTGAGCTGCCTGATGTGGGTGCTGGGGATCAGGTCCTCTGGAGCTGCTGGCCATCTCTTCAAGAGAGTAGTTTAAAGTTTTTTAAAAATTATTTCTTTTGTGTTTTTAGATTATAATTACATCATTTCCCCCGTCCTTTTTCCTTCTCCGACCCCTTCCTGGATACTCCTTCTTCTCTTTCAAATTCATGCATTCCTAAATTCATAAATACAACATGCTTAGTCTGCATAATGTTGCTTGTATGTGTGTTTTCAGGGCTGAACCTTCGGTTTTGGATAACCAATTGGTGTGCTTCTCTGGGGAAGAGAGAATAGAATTTTTTTTTGGTTTGTTTTTCGAGACAGGGTTTCTCTGTGTAGCTTTGTGCCTTTCCTGGCTCTTGTTCTGTAGACCAGGCTGGCCTCGCACTCACAGAGATCCACCTGCCTCTGCCTCCCGAGTGCTGGGATTAAAGGCGTACGCCACCACCGCCTGATGAGAATAGATTTTTTTAAGGAGTTATTTTGTATATTTTAGGCTCTTAAGCCTCTGGTGTGTTCTTCCCTCTGTAAGAACTAAAGAGTGGAAGTGTTGCAAGAGATGCATCATAAATGGTTTCGTTTACTATCCTTAAGGGATTGGGGATTTTAGATTAAGAACGATAGTATCTTTTCATTAAAGTGCATCATTCCATCTTCATTTATTAGTCTACCACTACATTTTGGGAAATGTTCTATTTCATTCTCATTGCAAAAAATGTATAAGAATATCTAGATTATCTAGGTTAGGTTTTCAGATTGTGAATTGACTTCAACTTAATTTTTTATTGAATTATTAACTTTTGGGGATATTTTTTTTTTTTGTTTTTTGTTTTTTGAGACAGGGTTTCTTTGTGTAGCTTTGTACCTTTCCTGGAACTCACTTGGTAGCCCAGGCTGGCCTCAAACTCACAAAGATCCTCCTGGCTCTGCCTCCCGCGTGCTGGGATTAAAGGCGTGCGCCACCACTGCCCAGCGGGGATAAAAATTTATAGGAATATTATTAAGGTTAAATTTGGCAATTTAGATTTGCTTCAGGATATCGTCTTTGGTTTGATTTTTTATTTTTTTTATTTTATAATTTAATTTTACGTATCAGCCACGGATTGCCCTGTGTGTCGTCCCCCCCTTCCCCCTATCCCACCCCCCCCATTCCCGTCTCCTCCAGGGCAAAGACTCCCTGGGGATTCACTTCAACCTGGTAGATTCAGTCCAGGCAGGTCCAGTCCCCTCCTCCTAGGCTGAGCAAAGTGTTCCTGTGTAAGCCTCAGGTTCCAAACAGCCAGCTCATGCACTAAGGACATTCAAAAAGTATTATCTTTAAGTCTGTAAAAGACCCAGTAATTGAAATAAATAGTATAGTTAAATATTCCATCTTCAATACTAAATATTTGTGTTGGGTATTTGCAATAATTGAAGTACCACGTAGGCACTCCATATTTTTATAAGGGAGTGATTGGTTACTTTTAAATATGTAGTCAAGATCCTGTGTGCATCGCTTCCATCAATTTCATTTGATTCCTCGTTGTGGTCCATTTCATTTCTGCAGTGGTACAGTTAATATTTTGTCGTTAACAGTAAGTACCTCAGTAAGAAAACTGACTGTTCCAAGTCAGGTATGCTGGTTTTCTTTTATAGCATTCCTTGGTTTTGGTCTGATGATGTGAGGGAGGAAAGTAGATGGGGGAGGAAGCAGGAGTTAAGTTGGTGAGTGCTAGCCTAAGGGGATAAAAGCACCTTAAGACCATAGGTCACCTCTGAGTTTAATAAAGTGTATTATTTTCTATATACAGCCGGCAATGTTTGAAAACTTTCTTTCTTTTGATTTTTAAGTTGTTGGAAAGTTTTCTACTTACACTCAGTAAGATTTGAAAGACTGTCTTTGACTGTTTTTTTAGGTTTTGGAAAGATTAGGGTTTCTGTGTTTGTTTATATAGTAGTAGTTGGGATGTCAGTAGTGGAGCTCTTACGTCATAGTGGAGCTGTAGAGGTAGAGGAGTTGTGACCGTATAAACTAACTTGTTAGTGATGACTAAAACAGTCACTGTTCATTGCATTGGTTTCCCTCTGCTTTGAAATGGGGAATTTGAATAGCAAGGATTTACTAATTTATTTAAAAAGTAGATGTAAGATAATATTACCCAGTACAGAAGGAACTGGCAGGGTTCTCTGTATGTGGATTACTTTTCAGTGCTTTCTGATCCTGATTTTATAACATTTCATGTAAGTTTTCATTAAATAACTATTTTTATAGCGTATTCAGATTTTGTTACACCTAGACAGTAGCCTGATTATTAGACTTATTACTGGACACATCAACAGGTATTGTGGTATAAACATTTCCTTTTGTTAGAGTTATTTTAAAGTATAGTCTCCTTTTTTAATGTGAGTTGTAATGGTGCTGGCTTGATTGGAAGGAACTGAATTATTTCTAGAATACCTCATTTGTTCTTCCTGCCTGCCATTCCAGAGGTTCGCTTTTCCCGAGTGGAATTGTCACACAGAATTAAGATAGTCATTGACTACAGATGATTAAATTCATTTTAAAATAAGTCTTCATTTGGGATCCCTCTAAATGTGATGGAAATGTAGGTGGGACACTTGCTTCCTTTACACTAGGCATGTAGTCCTCTGTTTCAAGAGTGGCTGTGGTCTGTCTGAGACAGTGCTGCAGCTGAGGGACAGCCAGCCGAGGAACACAGTAAGTGGTAGGTAATGATGCACCATTGCTCTCCCTTCCTCCTGTCCCTCCCTCCTTCCACCCCCTTCTTCCTCAGGTAGCTGCCAAATAATATTGCAA